CGCTCTCTGTCCACCTCTCGCCGCTCGCTTGCGTAGCAAAAAATGGCCAGTTTTGGCCTGTTTTTGGGCCGTTCTTGCGTGCAGCGGTGACCATCGTGAGCGGAGCGAAATGTCAGCCATCTCAGCACCCTAGAACCTCCCAAGTGGCACAGGGTAAGCCTACAAATATTTGAAGTCGATCATGTATGAGGTCTCGATCATCTATTGATGATCCCAATGGAGAGTAAGCTTGCAAAATTCGAGCATTCAATCAAATTTTGGTTACCGTCTAATGAATCACTTCAGATCATTTCCTACAAATATTTGAAGTCTCGATTAGAGTATATAATTATTATTTATACTCAAATTTTTGAGTATATAATTGTTCTCTCTCCTTAGAACAAGAAAGAGCTGCTTATCGTTGCATGGATCCCATTCTTCTCGAGAGCCTCCGGCATCCTATAATTCCTCCAGCCTGGTTCATCTCCATCTATGTTCTAGATGAAAGTGCATCGCACACAATACTCCATGGGGAAGTTGATGTTGGAATTAAACTCGTTCAAGTATCATAAAGAGATTAATTTTATTAAAAGAAAGATTCATTGGATCAAGAGGGCGATTTATTACATCAAGAAGAAAAAATAGATTAAATGTCTATGAAAGAATAAGTCAAATTAGTTATTGGTTCTTGAAAGGATTTCTTTAAAAAAAAAGATTTATTTTGAATATAATTAATATAATGTAACCTTGGAGACTTTATAAACCCCATATGTTGGGTCATGAAATATAGAGTTTTTGAAATTGTAAAGAGGTTTCTTGAGAGAAATATAGAAGATCGAAGCTTATCAAAACTAATATGTTGCACAAACAACTTGGCTCTAATACCACTATAGGGAAATCTAGGGGTGACATCACATGCGTAGTGGAAGAACAGAAAATAAAATTCCTAGATTTCCTAAAAAGGTATTCGACGTCATGCAAAGATTAGTGCGCGAAATCCATAAAATCAAAAACTATATATCGAAAAGATAGTTGTGTTTTACCTAGGGAGATCGTATATCTTTGAATCCCTATAGATCTGTTGGAGAGGATGAAGGAGGTTAAGCGACCTCCTCTCTAGTAGTAATACACACAACAGGGCTGCGACAATGCTCCTCTAATCACTACCTAAATCTCCACACCTGCTATCTAAGGAGGAGACGGAGATAGGAGAATAGAAGGTGGCAACCAAGAAACCTCTGGCCTATGAGTGTTTGGTTCCTTTATATTTATAGAGGCCCTCAATCAACTTAACCCTTATGTATCCTGCCCTTATTGGGTATTGTATCTCCATCCAATTACCCAAGCCTCTTAGATTAGTGGATCTCTATCCAATAATCTCTCATTCACTTTTATTGGATCTCATCCGTAGGATCCAATAATTCAGAGGCTTATTGGATATCCAATAAAATAGGGGCTCCGGTAGATTTCTGATATCCGAACCTCTACTCGTCGCAACGCCTACCATATGTGTGTGACCTTTTAGGACCAATATTGAGTTGGCCATGAGTCATACCTATCAGAACTCCTTCTAGCTCACTGAATTATTATCTTCATAATAATTTATTTGACTCATTGACTGCAAATGTACTAGGCCACTAAAATATAGTCCCCAAATAATACAAGGGAATCCAATCCTTTGGACATATCTATCCTCATTTATCATGTATCTAAGTCCCTCATCCATCTAATACTCTAGATACTATATACCAAATATGGTACTGTCAGATCTATACAGTTTCTACTCGAATCTCGCTCTAATCAGATTCTCCCGAAAAACTCTTTCTCTCTCAATCAGATTATCTAATAGGACCACTATCAAGCTGGCCATGAGTTATACCTATCAGAACTCCTTCTAATCAGTGAATTATTATCTCCATAATAATTCACTTGACTCATCGACTGCAAATGTACCAAGCCACTACACCGTAGTCTCCAAATGATAAGGGGAATCCAATCCTTTGGACATATCTATCCTCATTTATCATTTGTCTATAGTCCCTCATCTATCTTATACTCCAGATATTATATACCGAGCATAGTACTGTCAAGTCTATACAGTTTCTACTCGAATCTCGCTCTAATCATATTCTCCCGAAGAACTCTTTCTCTCTCAATCCGAATGACCCTGGCCAGAGATTTGTTTAAGTAAGAATACATGAGATATTCCTCTCATAACATCGAGAGTGGATGATCCTCTATTGACACTTAATAATCCTCGTAAGGTTGGCTGCTACTCTTGATCTATTATGCTAGATCTAGAACTTCCAGGCCTATAAGTCCGGTATCAAAGAGTGGAGTATTCATACAGGACATCCTTGGTATCTCAAGTCTAA